CACACGCCAATGCCCCCCGTATTTGGGTTTTGTTTGGTTGTTTTTACCGGGGAGATAGAGTGAGGAAGTTGTGTTTCCGATGCGATGTCCGGTTGGTTGTGTTTCGCGATGTATTATCCGGGATCGGTTGTTTCGGTGCACGTTGGCGGTTCGTTGCGAGCGGGTTGTTGTCCAGATAGGGCGATTGGGAGAGTTGATTCCGCGCATCGTGATTGCGATAAAAGATACACAGCTCTGTCAGGATCCAGGCACTCCTACACGCCTGCACATGTGTGGTTTGAATAGTCAACACTCGCCCGCATATGCCCTCCCCCAGCCAACCATACATGAGAGCGCCGCAGGCAAGGGTTCGACAGAAACTCGACTTTACCCTTCCGTCCTTTTCCCAGATCTGCAAATGGACCCGGGACACGACCTGCGACTTGAACACTTTGAAGTATTGCGAGTTGTTGGCGTTGTGTCGGCCGAGGGTGAAGCAAGTCGTAAGAACCAGATGGCAGAGCTCAAATGTGTTGTTGAGGGGCAGCAGGATGATCTGCGGGGAATCTGCGACCAGGTCGTCGTTCGAGCTGAAGATCGACAAGAGCGAGGAGCTGGAGTGCAGCTTTCCAATGGGGTCGTTGGTAACCTTGCTGGTGAACGGGTTGGGTCTCATTATTGTGCTCGCAATCGAAGATTCGTGGGCGTGGCGGTGTGGAAGTGTTGCCGAGTTGGGTTCGTCAGGGGACTCGGAGTCGCTGTCTTTGTCGCCCTGGTTGCGCTCGGACATGTATATACCCGCAGATGCATCCCCGCGATCAGGCATGAAGAAATCTCTGGGCTTTATCGCGGCTCCGAGGCCTACTGTTTCGACGCCGGGTGGGTGCGATGCTTCATTGCCTGGTCGAGCTCCCGGGATTTGTTTCAGAGAGAGCTGCTGTTGCTCCGACCGGTCACTCGTGCCAACACCTGGGTCGTCCTTTGCGTTGCTAGACACATCTCCAAGCGTCGCTACCGTGGACCGGATTCCAAACTCCAGAGTGCCTGACTCAATACGGACGTCGGCTAGTCTTGCATCGGCAGGTTTCGAAGGGATCTCTTGGTTCGGTAGTAGCACGACGGTCTCCTTCAAAGCTGATTTGGCCTGATTTTTGATTTCAGCTATGTCGGTAATCGGTCCAAGCGCCACAGCGACTTTTGGTTCAATTGGACGCATACAGCCGTCACGACGCCGAAAGTGAGTTGGCTACATACCGATGCCGATCCAGCCCCTGATCCAGCCCCCGAACCAGCCCCCTGATCCAGCCCCATACCCCCACGACTGGCTGCGATTTGCATAGCGAGACACTCGCCAGCACATACCTTCGCTGCCACTGCGGGCTTTGCGAGTCACATGGGATTGCTCTAGGTCCTCGGTTGACTTTTGATCTTCATTTGAATCGGCGCCGTGTATCCCTTGGCTTGCTGCCGATGCACTCTTCATGATGCCCTGCGCTTTAAATCCAGCGGATGACTGGCTTTCCTTGTCTCTGGCACTAGCACTAGCACTAGCACTGGTGCTGCCTTCGGATGGCTCTCGGCTCTCGGCCCGTCGCTTTGGCGTCACCGGCCGAGGAATCGTGGCGCTTATCTTGGCACTCTTCATTTCAAACATCTGGGCTGCATTCTTGACCGATAACTGCCCACCAAGCCCGATTGCTACATTCTCTCCGTCAGATGTGAGAGCCTCTGAGGCGTTGAGGCTGGTGTTTTTGTCTTGGTCTTCCGTCGGTCCGTGCGACTCGACTGAGCGGATGGCCTTGTTTGATGTGGCCTCCCGCTCCTTGGCCATGTACAAATGTATTTGCTCATCAGGTAGCTGCCGAAGCTTGGAGGGCTTGATGTTGCCTTCGGTGGTGGTATTCGGTAAGACATTGGATGATGCTTTGCCCGCTGGCTTGGTTGCACTAGTGGGATTGAATGGACTTCGGAGCCCGCTGGTTTCGGCTGGCGCATCCTTGTGCTGAGCGATCGTGCCCTTGGGTGGACTCTCGCCACTTGTCTCGACTTTGCCAGGCTCGATATGCGAAAGCAAGTGATGTGCCAACGCAACGTACTCGTTGAGGACATCGTCTCTGCCCAGCGACTCCTGTTGGCTTTGTGAGCCGGAATTCAGTCGTGACCGCATTGCGACATCGTGCTTGGATGCGTCGGAATGGGAATCCGTCGGAGGTGTTTCCAGACCGGCGAGACGATACAAACTGCTCATCGACCCAACCCCATGCACCACTGGCATATCGCTGATCTGAGCCGGAACGATCGACTCTTGGCTTGGCCGCTCGGTTCCAACTGAATGACCGCTGGACGCTGGCGCTGGCGCTGCCGACCGGCGCGGAGAACCGACCTGGCGCCTGAGACCATCGGCGACAGCTCGGTTGTCTTCAGCTCGAGACGCCGCGCTGCTATCCAAGTTGAGCGACGTCTCGCTGTGGGCCTCCTGCGAAACAGCCAAAAGCAATTGGCAATTAGGGAGGGCCTGATCTGTCATTTCCGAAATGCCGCTGGGTTTCTTGGGAGATCATTGCAAGGATAAGCAAGGGAGGCCTGCGGGCGATCCGGAAAGTCACTCGATGGGCGGTGGACTCGGCAGGCACCCAACGTACCTTGGACGGTGAAAGTCGCTCAAAGTCACCTGTGACATTTGTTGCGGACCGCGGCATAGCGACCTTTTGCTTGAGCTCGTGATGAAAGAGTTGCTGGATATGCTGCAGCTGTTCGTGAAAGTCGTGATGGGTGTGTTCGTGCCTTGTCGGGTCCGGGGTGACCGGGCTAGGTGTCGACGGTGGAACGAGCCGGTTGCCGTGGGAGCCAACGACGTCCGTCGAGTCTGCAGCAAGATGCGGAGTCGATTCAAAGTGTGCCTCGATGCTAATGTTGTGCGTGGGCGAGGAAGCCTTGGATTCGGAAAGTAGACTCTCGATGCTCTTGGCCTTGCCCAGCTCTCCCTCCCCTTTGGCCGGCGGGTTCTTGGAGAGCTTGCGCTGTGCCTGCTCCGAGTCCTCCACCTTGGAAGTGCGCGAATAGAACGACGAGAACAGCGCCCGGGCCATGTCGACCGAGTCGAGCTTCTCCTTGGATCCCTTGCTACTGTCGAGCTTTTCCTTGGAGCCCTTGCTGTTGTCGAGCTTTTCCTTGGAGCCTTTACTACTTTCGCGCTTCTCCTTGAGCTTACTACTGGAGCCTTCGACTTTGTCCCTGGGCTTGGGCTCGTCTTTGCTCCGGATGCTCCTGGGTGAAGACTTTTCCGACCCCGAGGCAGAGTGGCCCTTCTTATCCCAGAACCACGGGAGATGGTGCGACTTGGACTCGGTCTCGCTGGCAGAGGACTTGAGGACGTGCTCTTGCACGAGCTGAGCGGCCTTGCTGTCCTTTTGCTTCATCTGTTCTTGGAACTGCTTGATCGGAACCAGCTCAACGCCACTGGCGAGGAACTTTGGCGAGGCCTGCGCCAGCGGTGGATGGGGCTTCACTGGCTGTTCTGGGGGAGCTGGAAGATTGACGCTCCTGAGAAACACCGACCCAGGACTCTGCAGTATGGGCGACTCGACCACGGGCCCGTCGGGGTCTGTGGGCTCCCACCACTCGTTTTGCGGCCACCGCTGGTCGAGATCGGCGGCGCTGCCGACAAGGCTCTCGGAATCCATATCGATGTCGACGCCGTCGTCGTCGTCGTCGTCGGGCACCGGGACCCCGCTCAAGATGCGCGAAATAGACTCCATCGTGACGGTGCCGTCGTCCTCCATGACCGAGGACATGGCCTCGACCTTTCTCGCCTTGTCGAGGTAGTTGGTGACCGAGACTCGCACAACCGTGAGGATTTTGAGGGTGTTGAAAGGGAAGTTGACCTCATGGCTCCGGAGGTCGGTGCAGCCCGTGACGACGTCGGCAATGATGTCGCTGAGAGTCTCGACAAAAGGGTTGATGTCGGTCTGGAAACCGCCTATCTGCTCCTCGAGCTGAAAGCACTCTTCTTGGATAGTGGCCCATTGCTCCGCCAGGGTGGTGCCGGCGTGTGGATGCCGATAGGCCGTTCCCACGTTCACCAGCCGTGTCGAGCCCGCCGACTGGCCCGCGTGGATGCGGCAAATGTCCTGAAAAATCTGAACCAGAACCTGAGCGTCCTGGGCGATCCTGTCGGGCAGCGAGCCCGCAGGGCCGGCCAGAGGCGGCGGCGGACGGAACATGCTCGGCAGCGAAAAGCAGCAAGCTTGGGCCTTGGAGATGTGAATCGATGCTTGCGCGGTACTGGAAGAGACGGCCTTCTTGGCAAAGTCAAGGTTGCGGGCGGCTCAGCCATAGTGTTAAGCGAGTACCCAATCACCGCTGCTGACGACATTCATTGTTTTGTTTGGCAAAGATGCCGGCCAGGCCACCGCACCCAACGAACGACCATCGGAAGCTGATTGCATCGGTTGCAACAACAGCGGCAACAACAGCGGCAACAACAGCGGCAACGCAGTCAGCCCTGCTCACATCGTGCCCCAGCTTGCGCGACTGAGATGGCCAATGAACGACCGCTGGTTGGCCGGATCAAGGCTATCAAGTGTCAAGCACATCCGTCTGGTGAGGGAGGCATATTGGGACATCCCAGCAGGGCCCTGAACGCATTCGGATGAATAGTGGCCCAGGCCAGACATGCCAGTCGGCATCAGACAGACACTAGCGAGGCGAGCCCGTCGCATGCAGTTGACTGTTTGTCGACTGTTTGTCGACTGTTTGTCGGCGGTGGAAGGTGGCCCAAGAAGGTTTTGGAGCGACACCTGGCTTGTAGTGTGTTTGGACATGAACCCAGACCAAGGCAAATATTTCCGCTGGCATGGTCGAAGCGACCGAGTCGACTTTTCGCTGGAGATGGCGCAGAATATTCCGGCAGACAGCACAGGGGGTCTTTAAGGACCGGGAGTCGCCCATCGAGGAGCCCCATCATCAGCACCTCCAACCAGGCATCCTCGCTTCGTGAACCGCTCGATCCTCAAGAAACCATGCTCCTTCTGGCACCCGCTGTCCTCACCCTCCTCGGTGTCGCCACGGCGACAAGACTCCCGCATCAAGCCAGCAACTCCCATGGCTTGGCCAAGCGTGCCACCCTCCAGATTCCTCCTCCGATGCCTGCTCGTGAGTTGTGCGGGAGATGTCGCTGTCCCTCGGGATGTCTCACCATCGCATCTGATCCACCTCGCTGTTGTCTCATCGCATCCGATCTGCATCCAATCGACCAGAGTGGCCCTCGATCGACCAGACCAACTTCATCACCGGCAATCTGCTGACCGATCCTCTTGTGCAAGAGTGAGTCGCTGTCGCTGTGCTGTCTCGCAGCAGTGTGCCAATGCGGTGTGGTGCGGTGCGGTGTGGTGCGGTGCGGTGTGGTGTGAGTGCGGGTGATCTGGTGTGGGAAACATGACATGATGTGATCTGGTGGTGATGCGGTGACTTGCTTGCCGTCACCCTGTATCCCACACCCATCTCTGTTCTCCTGTTCCGTCATTTGGTTCTCTCTCCATCGGGCCGATTCGAGTTGCTAACCGGACTGTGATCGATGCGATTGCGATTGCGATCGGGTCTGGCTGTGGTCGGTCAGTGCCCTTGCCTATGTCCAGTCGGTGGTTCCAGCCTCGCTGTTGAACATCCCTCCGTCAACCTTCGTCAGCGGAGCCACAGTGAAGTACAACTCAGATGGTACGGAGTGAGACTGTGGCGAGTGGGCTGTGGGTTGATCGCTTCCAGCAGGCAGCAACGGACTGGGCCTGGGTCGGCCATGGCCGGCCAGGCTTCCCGGCACGCTCTCGATGTCGGCTCTGGCTGGTATCAGCCATGATCGACCATGATTGACTTTGCCCAAGTGTGCCCGAGTGTGTTTGATCATGATGTTGCCACACCGCGATGCTCACACCACCATTCCCACACTATTGCTCCATCGCACCGACACCACCACACCGACACTCTCGCACAGTCAATGCCAACTGCTACTGGCCATACAACCTCTGTGTCCGCACTGCCGCTGGAAACGGCTATCAGGCCGATGTCTACACCTGCCCTCAGCCCGGCACCTGGGGAATCTCCTTTGACGACGGACCCACTGTCGATCCCGTCACCCACGACGACTCGGCCGCCATCCGTGCCCAGCTCGACAAGATGAACATCAAGGGAACCTTCTTTGTGGTTGGATCGAACGTCATTCAGAACCCCCAGATTGTCCTGGACGAGTACAACGACGGCCACCAGATCGGCGTCCACACCTGGACACATCATCCGCTCACAGCTTGCACCAACGAGCAGATCGTTGCCGAGATCAAGTACGCCGAAGCAGCCATCTACAACGCCACCGGACAGGTTCCGAACTTTTTCCGTCCTCCCTATGGCGACATTGACGACCGAGTGCGTGCCATTGCAAACGCTCTTGGATATACCGTCACGATTTGGAGTCAAGACGATCTTGCGGCCGACCAAGACACCACTAGTGCTGCGATCGGCCAGAGCTTGATCAACAGCGCCACTTCGACCTGGCTGTCCAACTCGTCTGCCAGCTTTGTGTCGCTCAGCCACGACATCACACCGTTCACCAGCAGCGTCATCCTCGGGATTCTTCAGTATGTCGACGCCAACCGTGCAAGCATCAAGCTGAATATCCAAGCCGTCGGTACATGTGTCAATCAGCCCTGGTACCGATCCGGATCTAGTGGAGGCGGCTCCGTTCAACCCAGCGGAGGTATTCAGCCCAGCGGAGGTATTCAGCCCAGCGGAGGTGTGCCACCCGGTGGTAGTGTGCAGCCCAGTGGAGGTGTTCAACCCACAGGAGGTGTTCAACCCACGGGAGGTGTTCAACCCACTGGTGGAGTCCAACCCACTGGTGGAGTTCGGCCCACTGGTGGAGTCCAACCCACTGGTGGAGTCCGGCCCACTGGTGGAGTTCGGCCCACTGGTGGTGTTCGGCCCACCGGCGGTGTTCAGCCCACTGGTGGTGTGCAGCCTGGTGGTGGTGATCAGCCCGGAGGAGGTGGTCAACCTTCAGGTTCGTCTGGCTCCCTCCCCCACCACATGGCGATTTGAACTGATCTCCATCCCGTAACGAGAACAGCTTTGTGGGATATTCTTTTTCGTATGGCAGCCCCGACGCCGTATCTTTACGTGCTCGGCCTTTTCCTTTATACACTGAACCACGATGCACAAATCATCACAATCTAACACCATCATCTTTGACACAGGTTCGACTCAAGCCACCGCTACCTCCACGGCCTCCTCGACGACACCCTCTGCTTCCGGTGCTGCGACTGTTGGCCCAAGCTCTGGCTCCGCCTCTGGATCCTCTTCGGCAAGCAATACTCCCAAAGCCCTCGCTTCCGGCGCCACTGCGATGACCACTCCTCTTGCGTCGCTGCTCACCGCTGCTGTGGTCGGCGCCGTGATGGCAATTGGCTTCCGTGTCTAAGCTCTATTGCTTCGGCAGCCCTAGTTGCTCGATACCGCATTAATAGTGACATTTGGAGAAGAGGAGTTGTCGTTCTCGACTATACCCGCCATGCGATCTCGACTGGAGCGCTTGTAAAATTGAACGAGACACCCTGCGTTTGTCGCTTTTGCTTCTGAGTGAATACAATATACGTTCATCATCCATGATGACCACATATCCCATGGCTCCGGGGAGGGGGCGCATCACCAGCGGCATCGGATGCGCAATATATCGACAGGCAGAGTCCATCGGCATGCAGAGTATATCGGGAGCAAGGGCAGCGTGGCTGACTCTCGATGAGACCGACGATGGCCACTGTTAGCGGATCATAGCCCTTTTCCTCAAACCAATATCTCGCCTATGCTATGTCAAGAACGAAACGGGACAGCGCCCGACCACGATCCTCCTGGTCCGTTCGTCTGTCCGCACCCCCCCCCACTTCGTTTGACGGCAGCGACAGACCCCAGCCGCGTGAGCATCGGTGTCTCGCACCCACAAAGGCCCCTTTGCTTCGCCAAGATTCGCCCATTCCATTTTGTTGATCCCTCCTTGTTTGGCCTTTCTGTCGTGCAAGCATGTGTGCGCCTGTGCTCTCGCTTTCCTTCCAGCTTGCTCGGCCCCTTGCTCGGCTCCCTGCCCCTCCCCACCGGCAAGACGGCCGCGTCCTGTCGCCCAGACGCAAATGTTTGGCGTCGGTGCCAGGCACAGCGCGTCCGCGTCGCGGTTCGGCCGACCCCTGTGCGCGCTCCGCCGCGTGCCGCGTCAGCGCGTTGCTGCGCGGCCAGGCGGGGGGCACAGCGCCACCGTGCGGGTGCGGGCCGCGGCAAGCAAGGCAGCGAGGCAAGGCAGGGAGGCAAGACAGCGGGCCGGCGCACTGTTGGTGTGGCTGGGTTCAGTGGAATGTTCCACTCGATATGTTGCCGAGCGAGGCCGCCGCCGCCGAACGTGGGTCGCCCTTTTAAATACGCCGGCAATCCGCCTCTTCGTCGCGACATCGCCCTCATTCGCTTCTGGCCTTCGCGACCTGTCTTCGCTTTCTATCCAAGCCCCGCAGCTCCCTCTTCCATCCATCGCACAAACCTAATCTCTGCACATATGCATACCTCTGCTCTTCGACCCTGGGCTCTGGCCCTCGTGGCCCTGGCTCCTCTCTCGAGCGCCGCTCCTGCTGGGCACGACCTGGCTGCTCTGAACACTGGCGGCCACTTGGCCGTCAACCTCGACGCCTCGGCGCCTTCGCTTCAGATCCCTCCCCCGATGCCTCAGGGTAAGCCTGCGTTAGCACAGTCGCATCGGTGCCGTCGTCGCAAACACCTCGCACATGAGCACATGGCTTTGCGCTGGCGGTGTTTGTCCTGACCCCTCTCCCCTGCGTCTCCCCTCAATCACATCTTGGCGATTGGTCCCCCTTCCAGCCTGGCCTCCCGTCGATCAGCTGCATTTCATTCCCGATTCGTTCCTCACGGACCCGCTGGTTCAAAAGTAAGCGTCTTGCTGCGGCTCGTCCCAGATTTCAGCGTGGTCGCTGCTTGGTGTTGAAGAACGCCGACACTCGCTCCCTACTCTTGTCGACTGCTTCGAATTTCCCGCCTGACTCGACCTCTGTTATTAGTGCCCTGGCTTATGTGCAGGCCGTCGTCCCAGCCAATCTGCTCAATCTCCCTGTGTCGACCTACATCAGTGGTCCCACCGTCAACTACACTGCCGATCGTGAGTTTCTTCCACAATCCCTCCAGTGTCCACTTCGCATCCCTCGGGTCGGGCTCGCTGTGTTGGAGAGGGGAGGGCAGGCTGTGGGCCATTCCTGCGTCTGGTCCGGCGCCGGGCCGCTTGCCTGGTCGGCAGATCGGTCTCTGTCTTGTCCTCGACGCCGTCCCTGCGACGCCACCCTTGCGTGTGGCGGCCATGGGCTGTGTGGGCCGCTGCACCGCATCCTTGTCGAACGATATATGCCATGCCCAATGCTTAAACCCAAACCACACACCATCTAACCCGCTCAATCCTCTCAACATGCTCTGTCGCTCGTCTGGACTTGGTCCGCAGCCGTCGCCAACTGCTACTGGCCCAAGACCCAGTGCGTCCGCACCACCGCCACTGCAAACTACCAGGCCGATGTTATTCAGTGCCCTCAGCAGAGCACCTGGGGCCTCGCCTTTGACGACGGACCAACCAACGACACCGTCAACCACTACGACTCCATCTCCATTCGCCAGCAGCTCGACAAGATGAACATCAAGGCCACCTTCTTCATCGTCGGCACCAACCTCATCATTCGCCCGAACATTGTCCTGGACGAGTACAACGACGGCCACCAGATCGGCGTCCACACCTGGACCCACCACCCGCTCACCGCTTGCACCAATGCCCAGATCGTGGCCGAGATCAAGTACACCGAGGCCCTGATCTACCAGACCATTGGCAAGGTGCCCAACTTCTTCCGTCCTCCCTATGGCGACATTGACGACCGTGTCCGTGCCATCCTGAGCGCCCTTGGCTACACCATCACCATCTGGAACAAGGATGACTTTGCCGCCGACCAGGCCACCACCTCGGCCACGATTGAGAAGGGCCTGGTCAACAACGTCACCTCGCAGTGGCTCCTCCCCAATCAGCCTGGATTCGTCTCCCTCAGCCACGACATTACCCCGTTCACCAGCGAGGTTGTCCTTGATTACCTCAAGTACATTGACACAAACCGCGCAAGCATCCCCCTGACCATCGAGCCCGTCGGAACCTGTGTCAACATTCCATGGTACCGCGCCAACTCGACTATCGTCGCTTCGTCCACCACTTCCTCCGGAGCTTCCGCCACAGCCACCAATGGCAATGGCAGCGGCTCGCTGAACAAGTCTGGCGCTGCTTCGGTTAGCGCCATGACGGCCAACACCATTGCTGCTGTCTTTGGAACCGTTGCTCTCGGCCTCGTTGTCATGCTTGCCCAGTAATGCCGCGGGGAAAAGAGAGGAACGAAGAAACCAGGCAGCTTGCATGCACGCTTGCCCTCCACACACATATTTAAGCTTTTTATCTCCGGGGACCCTACTCTCTAAGCCATGATGCATTGGTTTGTTGTTGGGTTTGCACTTGATTATTGGCGGCTGCCAGCCCGTTTCATTTCCTGGTCGTTATTTTTACTGGGCCGGCCTTGGGCTTCCCCTCCCCCTTCCCCTCCCTTCCGAACCCTGCCTTGGCACTACTCTAGAATCGATGATTTTCATTCGTTTTGCTTTACTATTTTTTGATACTGGTGAGGGTTTTCCGTTTCGCCTTCTCCGATCTTCACGGTCTTTATTTGGGCATATGCAAGTGTGTTCCGACACGTCTCGTCTGGGCTCGTCGCCCATCGGGTCGTTGCGAGAGACGATACGATGCTTGCCGAGCCGAAAAGCAAACACTACACTCAATCCTCATATTCATATTCATATTCGTATTCATGAATCGATTTGACCTTCCACAACGAACATTGCGGGTCCCTTGGGACTGCGGTGTTGGGTCTCGGGTCTCGGGTCTCGGGCGGTGCAAGGATGAGCAAGACCCCCTGGTCGTATGGCTCAGCGACGGGCCACATGTCTGCTGGTGCAGTCGGTGGCGAGGCCAAGGAGCCGGACGAGACGGTGGTGGTGGAGGAGACTTTGCGGCTCTCCATGATGCATGCAGACCGAGGCGGGGGCGATTCATCGCGAACGGCATGTCGCCTGCTGGGCAGCTGGTCGTCATCGAGGCGAACCGATGCAACGGGATCCGGGCTGGGTGTGCCCCGTGAGCCTGTCCAAGGTCCACTCCAGGCCGGGGAGATGGCCTCTCCGATCACCCGCCCGCCCGAGACGATAGGCGGTGGGGCGGTGGCAAGCAAGGAGCAAGAAGGGCGCAAGACGGATGCAAGGCCGGCGGAGCTGGGTTTCCAAGGACCCAACCAGATGCGAGCGACTTTTGGCTTTGCTTCGACTCCTCAGAGCCCTTCGGGCTGGCGGAGGATTGAACCTCGGGTGGGCCTGTCTCCACTGTGAGACGACCAGGCATTGCGGGGCAGGCTGGTCTCCCAGGGGATGCAGCTCTGTGTCATGGAGTGGGCCTATAAATCGATATGGAGCAGCTCCATCAGCTTCTTGGGCCAAACCTTTCATGAACAGGAGCCCAGATCGCCCTCGACCACAAAACGAATCAACGACATGCCATCTCAAGCTGCCGTTTCCGTATTCACCATTCTCCTCGGTGCTGCCACGGCGACAAGACTCCCGCATCAAGCCAGCAACTCCCATGGCTTGGCCAAGCGTGCCACCCTCCAGATTCCTCCTCCGATGCCTGCTCGTGAGTTGTACGGGAGATGTCGCTGTTCCTCGGGATGTCTCACCATCGCATCTGATCCACCTCGCTGTTGTCTCATCGCATCCGATCTGCATCCAATCGACCAGAGTGGCCCTCGATCGACCAGACCAACTTCATCACCGGCAATCTGCTGACCGATCCTCTTGTGCAAGAGTGAGTCGCTGTCGCTGTGCTGTCTCGCAGCAGTGTGCCAATGCGGTGTGGTGCGGTGCGGTGTGGTGCGGTGCGGTGTGGTGTGAGTGCGGGTGATCTGGTGTGGGAAACATGACATGATGTGATCTGGTGGTGATGCGGTGACTTGCTTGCCGTCACCCTGTATCCCACACCCATCTCTGTTCTCCTGTTCCGTCATTTGGTTCTCTCTCCATCGGGCCGATTCGAGTTGCTAACCGGACTGTGATCGATGCGATTGCGATTGCGATCGGGTCTGGCTGTGGTCGGTCAGTGCCCTTGCCTATGTCCAGTCGGTGGTTCCAGCCTCGCTGTTGAACATCCCTCCGTCAACCTTCGTCAGCGGAGCCACAGTGAAGTACAACTCAGATGGTACGGAGTGAGACTGTGGCGAGTGGGCTGTGGGTTGATCGCTTCCAGCAGGCAGCAACGGACTGGGCCTGGGTCGGCCATGGCCGGCCAGGCTTCCCGGCACGCTCTCGATGTCGGCTCTGGCTGGTATCAGCCATGATCGACCATGATTGACTTTGCCCGAGTGTGCCCGAGTGTGTTTGATCATGATGTTGCCACACCGCGATGCTCACACCACCATTCCCACACTATTGCTCCATCGCACCGACACCACCACACCGACACTCTCGCACAGTCAATGCCAATTGCTACTGGCCATACAACCTCTGTGTCCGCACTGCCGCTGGAAACGGCTATCAGGCCGATGTCTACACCTGCCCTCAGCCCGGCACCTGGGGAATCTCCTTTGACGACGGACCCACTGTCGATCCCGTCACCCACGACGACTCGGCCGCCATCCGTGCCCAGCTCGACAAGATGAACATCAAGGGAACCTTCTTTGTGGTTGGATCGAACGTCATCCAGAACCCCCAGATTGTCCTGGACGAGTACAACGACGGCCACCAGATCGGCGTCCACACCTGGACACATCATCCCCTTACCTCGTGCACCAACGAGCAGATCGTCGCCGAGCTCAAGTATGCCGAAGCAGCCATCTACAACGCCACCGGACAGGTTCCAAACTTTTTCCGTCCTCCCTATGGCGACATTGACGACCGAGTGCGTGCCATTGCAAACGCTCTTGGATATACCGTCACGATTTGGAGTCAAGACGATCTTGCGGCCGACCAAGACACCACTAGTGCTGCGATCGGCCAGAGCTTGATCAACAGCGCCACTTCGACCTGGCTGTCCAACTCGTCTGCCAGCTTTGTGTCGCTCAGCCACGACATCACACCGTTCACCAGCAGCGTCATCCTCGGGATTCTTCAGTATGTCGACGCCAACCGTGCAAGCATCAAGCTGAACATTGAGCCCGTTGGCACCTGCGTGAACAAACCTTGGTTTCGCTCCGGGGCCGGAGGGAGTCCAGGCGGCACCAACACCGGCCGCACCAGCAGCCCAACCACCGCGGGGCTGCCGTATTTCGCTTCGACACAGGCCGCTCCGGTCGTAACGACAACAGGCAGCAGCCCGGCGGCTCCGCCGACGTATCCAACCGCACTGGCGCTCGCTCCTAAATCGGCCTCCCATGCACCGACACGGCTTCTCGAACCTGGGCATGCGTCGTCGATTCTTCTGCTCGGTCTTTCGCTGGGGCTTGTGATCTGCTGGCTGTGAGTACCTCGTTCCCGTGGCAAGGCCGGCGTGGGGCTGTGTTTACCCATCCAGCCGAACAGACAGGGCCGCCGTTGTCTCCACTCGGTGGCGGGCCCTTTGTCGAATGACTGAGGATGTGCAGCGGACAAGCGGACACAAACCTTGCCGCGACTGGGCTCCAAACGGAGGCCGGCGGATGATGGCGCCTTGTGCGGCGATGGCCATCTTAAGGGTGTCCGCGGGACGCAAACTCGACGCCGCCACTGTCCCAGGCGCGTTGCGGGCTTCGGGGGGCTGTGTCGTTGTCTCTTTGTGCTCCTGCCATCCAATAAAACCCTCTGGGCATCAACAAACAGCAAATCGCCGTCCACGGCCGCGGACAGGCGCAGACAACGGTCATACGCGCCTCCACCACGTATAAAGCCGACGGCTTTGGCGCAGGTCCTTTCCCACCATCGCTCGCTCGTTCGTTCGCTCCATCGTCCTTTGGGCCCCAAGTCGCCTCATCCGTTGTTTCCCAAGCCCCGTCTTTAGCTGCTCCCCGTTCACAGGTTCATCAACAAAAATGCGTTCCCTCACCATCCTCTGCCTCCTCGGCGCCACCCAGACTGCCTACGGCATCGGTATCGATCTCAGCCAGATCTACAAGAACGGCTTCAGGGTGTTTGCTGCCGATGCCAACCCCACAAGCAGCGCCGTGTCCCCTGTTACCACCTCGGCTGCCCCCGCTCCTGCGTCCACTGGCCGCCCTGCTCTGCAGCTCCCTCCCCCGATGCCCAAGAGTAAGCCAGCACCCGCTGTCCTGCTCTGCTGCCCATCCTGTAGTTGTGGGCCTGGTGTGGCATCTGTTTGGCCTGCTGACTCGAGCTGACCCTCGTTTGTTACTGCAGAGTGGCCCTCGGTTGACCAGACCAACTTCATCACCGGTGATCTCCTCAAGGATCCCCTCGTGCAAGAGTGAGTCACTCGCTTGTCGCGTTTACACACGTCTACTAGTCCACGTTGCCAATCGAGATGGTCACAATCAGATTTCTAACCCCTGTGCTGTGATCTACCAGTGCCCTCGCCTATGTCCAATCTGTCGTTCCCGCCTCGCTGTTGAGCATTGCACCTTCGACCTACGTCAGTGGATCGACTGTCAAGTACACTGCTGATGGTAAGCAGGGCCACTGTCCACTGAATCGGCCTTGGCTGCTAAGAATCGGCATCCCGAACTAACTTGCTCGTCCTTCTGCTCACAGCCAACGCCAATTGCTACTGGCCCAGCAACCTCTGCGTTCGCGCTGCCGCTGGAAACGGCTATCAGGCCGATGTCTACACCTGCCCTCAGCCCGGCACCTGGGGAATCTCCTTTGACGACGGACCCACTGTCGATCCCGTCACCCACGACGACTCGGCCGCCATCCGTGCCCAGCTCGACAAGATGAACATCAAGGGAACCTTCTTTGTGGTTGGATCGAACGTCATTCAGAACCCCCAGATTGTCCTGGACGAGTACAACGACGGCCACCAGATCGGCGTCCACACCTGGACACACCATCCCCTTACCTCGTGCACCAACGAGCAGATCGTCGCCGAGCTCAAGTATGCCGAGGCCATCGTCTACAACGCCACCGGACAGATCCCTTACTTCTTCCGTCCTCCCTATGGCGACATTGACGACCGAGTGCGTGCCATTGCAAACGCTCTTGGCTACAGCGTCACCATCTGGGACAAGGATGATCTTGCCGCCGATCAAACCACTACCTCTGTCTCCGTCGCCAACAAGCTCATCAACACTGCCACCTCGACCTGGTTCACCAACTACACGGCCGGTTTCATTTCCCTCAGCCACGAC